TAGATAGATAGATAGATAGATAGATAGATAGATAGATAGATAGATAGATAGATAGATAGATAGATAGATAGATAGATAGATAGATAGATAAAGGAACGTGATGGCTCAGTGGCTAAGACACAACTTGTCAATCAGAAAGTTCAGCAGTTCGGCGGTTCGAATCCCTAACGAGGGAACTCCCGTTACTTGTCCCAGCTTCTGCCAACCTAGCAGCTCCGGGCAGCGCTGGCTCTTCGGCTTTGAAATGGAGATGAACACAGCCCCCTAGAGTCGGGAACCACTAGCACATACTGTGTGTGCGAGGGGAACCTTTCCTTTTGCAACAAATGAAAAAAAAAACATAACACAACAAATAAATAATAAATACATAAGCAAATACATAAATAAGTAAGCTTGCAACGGGCTGCCCTGCCCCTTTATCTCGCGATTGCCCGGGCTCGGAACCCACGTGGGAACGTCACGGGAGCCGATCCAGGCAGGCAAGCTCCCACGGGGCGCCTCCCTTGCGCAACCCAAGCCTGGAGTCCCGGCCAAAAGCGCTCGGCGCCTTTAAAAAAGCGCAGCCACGAGGGTGGGGAGGGGGGCGTGCTGGAGGGAAGCGCCGGCTGGCCGGCCCTGCGCTGGGCGGCCTTAAAGGGGACTGGCGCCTTGTGGCCGGCCAAGTGAAAATCCCAGGCCGGCGAAGGGAAGTCTCTCTATCTCTCTGGCCGTCTGCCTTGGGGTCCTGCAAGCGGTGCGGGGACTGTGGCCGAAAGGCGGGGCGGCCCTCCCCAACGGGAGGAGCCTCTTTCGAACCCGGCTCCCGGGAAATGCCCAGCAGGGAGCTGGATCCCCTGCGTTAGGATCGGGAACACTTGAGCGCCTGGCCAGCCTTGCTCCGGCGGAGGGGACGCCGATGATGTACACCATTACCAAGGGCCCGAGCAAGCTAGCCACGCAGAGGAGGACAGGTAAGGCAGTACCCCGGACCACAATGCCCATCATCCCCAGCCACCAGGGGGAAGATCGGGAGCCGCGATCCCCCCCCCCATCTAGGAAAATCCGCGAGCTCAGCCCTTGCTCGTTCTGCAAAAGGCGCCCACCCCTCCTTTAATTGCATCCCCCCTCCCATCCCGGACGGGCTGTCAAGTGTCGGGCCGTTCCGCAGGCCCAGCCAGGTGTCCGGATCGCGCCTCTCTCTCTCGCCCCCGCAGGTCCCACGCAGCAGGTGGAGAGCAAATTGGTCGATCTGAAATGCCGGCGGCCGCAGCAGCAACAGCAGCAGCAACAGCAGCCGGAGCTGGGCTCGTGGCCCCTTGCAAGGTGAGGAGGGGGTCCCGTGATGGTAGGGGTCGTCCAGGCCGGCGAGGCAACCCCGCGGCGGCGAGAGGACGTCCCCCCGCTGCCCGGTGACCTTGCGCGCTGCTTGCCCGCAGGCTGGCTCCGCCGCCCGCGGTCCCCTTTGCCCAGGCCGGGGGGCGATGAGTGGAGGCCAGAGGGTCGCCCCTGGACGGCCAGGCTGGTCCGGGTTGGGGTCTCGGGCAGAGCGGCTGGCAGCCTCCCCGGAAGGGAAGTGGAGGTGACCTTGTGGGGAGGCTGCCTGCTGTCCTTGTGGCCACATGGCTCCCAAGGGGGGGGGGGGGGGAGGGGGGGGGGGGGGGGAGAG